CAGCTCCTCGGCTGCATTTGTCTGGGAGTGCTCACTCCCGGCCCCTTCCCAGGAGTCTCGGCTCCGGAGCAGCCAGGTCACTGCGGGACCCCGTGTGCAGCCCTGCTGTGGGGGACACGGTGTTATGTCTACCCATTCCCCTGCCTGTGGCCCGGGAGCCATTCTGAGCTTCTCACAGGCATCTGATTCTCCAAACCTACTTCACCTCGAGGTGCCTGACTCTGTGCTGGCCTGGAGCATCCCATCCACGCCCAGCCCACACTCTGTGCCTAACTGCAGTCCCACTCCAGGAGGTGCTTCCATCAGGAAGGCTCCCCCCCCCCACACCCCCAGAAGTCTGCATAGGGCTGCCCCTGTGGTGGCCCACAGTGCCCTCTGCCCTGTGCACTTCCCTCGTCCCAGCACCTGTCTCTATGTTATAACTTGCCCCTCTGTCTGTGCCTCTCATGGTTCCATTCTCTCCTTCCTCCATTGGTCCCTCTGAGCTGGGCTAGGCACTGGGGCACACTGGAATGGGGCGGGCACTGCCCTGGGCCTCGCCAGGAAACTCAGGAGTTGCGTGCACAGCTCCTTCCCATCTGTGGGCCAACCTCAGACTCAGTACCTGTTTGTTGGTACAAGCAATGGTGGAACCATTCTCAAGAACGGGCTGCTCTGACTTTTCCACGCTGATGTGAGCAGGCCTGTGCTGCATGACTGAGCCACACCCCTGACACATCGTTTTTAAAAATGTGAGCAGTGTTCTTTGTCTCTCTGGGGCATGATTGGTTATACCATCTGCTGCTGTGAACTGTGCCTCAGCTCTCTCAGGGAACCTGGGGAGACTGGCAGAAGGGGTGGCCTTTGGTCCACTACATCAGCTCCCTTTTAGCCTCTGGCAACCCAGCCGCCTCATTCCTGAGCAGACACGGACATTTTGTTCTGAAGGAGCAGCATATGCACCCCAAGTGCCATAGTGTGTGTAAATGTCAGGAATGCCACCCACGAGCTATGGCTGTCATAGCCATGGTCATGTTTCCCACTGTCCTTTAAAGTATTTTCATGCTCTTCCCACCTTTGGGGCTTGCCAACACAGTAAACGACCCAGGTGTTCCCCTCTGCTTGGGAGCTACCACAAACCTCAGTGACTCCTCACTTCCCAGATACCCCAACAATGCCCTGCGCACCACGAGAAAACGGTTTGCAGCAAGTTGGCCTTGCTGGGGCCTCAGCGTGCATTCACTTATTTGACCCCATCCACAAGCCCAAAAGCCGTTACATCAGTTTGAAGCCCACACCCATGTTCAGAAAATGCTTTAACTGGCTGGCCCATTGCAATTGTTTTTCTAGGTTAAAACTCTATGGATGGGGACGATTTAAAGTGCTAAAAAGGACAAGAAAAGCAAAAGTTGAGTAAGCCCTCTACAAACACCCCAGGAGACGACAGATACAGTTAAGAGCCCTTGTCGTTTCTTCAGTAAGAGGGGACTAACCACAGACCCAGAGGCTGCCACCAGCTCTGCCCTCCTCATCACTGGGTAGGGTGGATGGGGAGACGGCATAGGGGCCTGTGACAATATTGTCCCAGCACAGACTGTGCAGTGCATATTCTTCTAGAGTTTGGGGACACATTAGTGGACCAAGATTCTTTCCTTCAAGGGACACACATCACAGTCAGGCAGGACTGGGAGGAAAGCTATAGTATTTAGATAGGCACACTCTTAGGGAGGCTGGGGCGGGATGCAGCTCAGTGGTGAGGTGCTTGCCTATTATGCATGTGGCCCCGAGCTAGAGGGTGGCCAGTGTTCGCAAAGAGAAAAAGGACAGTAAGGTAAGAGGTGTGGGAAGGAGTTGATGCTCTAGGTCACCTTAAATAGGAGTGTGAAGGACAGGTCTCCCTGGGCAGTGAGGTTTGGACAAAGACTTCCCGAGGAGCCCGGTGAGTCAGGAGAGGCCTCCAGGCTAAGACAGTGGCTGAAGGACAGGTCTTGGTGGGGATGTGAGCCAGGAGCATTTGAGGACAAGGAGCCAATGTGGCCAGGGGAGAGCGGCACAGTGGCACAGGGAGAGATGGAGGGGCTCAGGTGTGGCATGTGGGCCTCATCATCTTGGCTTTCTCCAGAGTGAGCTGGGCCATACGGGGATCTGAACAGCAGACTTGTTGCAACCCAGTTCAGAAAGAAAACTCTGGCTGTGGGAGAAAAAATAGACAGAAAGAAAACAAGGTAGGAGCAGGGAAGACACTAAAGGACAATCTAAGATCTCAACCTTGGTGGCAAGAGAAGTGGTGAACCAGGGGAGCATCCTAGATATGTCCAAAGATAGAGCAAAAGCACCGCCTGCCTAGACTTAGTAGCAACTCTTGTTACGCTGGCTACTCAAGAGACTGAGGCAGGAAGATTGCCTAGCCTGGGCAACTTAGCTAGATCTTGTCTCAAAAATAAAAATGAAAAGGTCTGCAAATGCAGCTGGGGGCAGAACACTTAGCAGGTACAATGTCCTGCGTTTAATCCCCAGCACCTCCGCCCCGTACCACTTCCTACAGAAAACTCCAAAATTTTGGCCCGAGCAATTGGACCAGAAGGATGGAAGTGACATCAGTTTGCACTAATTATAGTGTCAGAGATTGCTCAGCTAGCATTGTCTATATTCTCTAACAATGAGAGATGCAAGGCTCCTAAAGACACTTTCCCCTGAATTTCCTGAATCTCCCTAAAGTAGTATACGCAATATGAGCCGGCACCACATTCGTGCAGCAGCTCCAGAACTTCAGGAGAAAAACTGAGATCTAGAGACCATTTTTGACTCTTGAAAGTATATACTAAGAATATACGAGGGCTGGGGATTTAGCTCAGCAGCATAAGCGCCTGCCTGTCAAACGCGAGGTCGTAAGTTAGATTCCTGGTACCCAAAAAAAAAAGAATATATGATACAGGGTTCTTAAAGAATTCATTTTTAGAAATTTCACTTCCTTTCCATCCAAACCTGGTAACTGGAGCTGATAAATGAGTCACATTGAAAATATTTCATTTAGAACATTGCTTAAGGGGGTCGCAGCTCAGTGTGTGCCCTAATTTCAGACCCTAACACCTAAAAAGGAACATTCTACAGTGCTCAAAACCACGTATGAACAGTGACAGCCATCTGCTTCTTTTAATCTGATTTCTAATAAGCTGTACCCTATCCACAAATGAAAACAAATATTTGCTGTTTGTAACTGCAGAAAATGAAACAGAATATAGATTCCAGAACTTTGCTTTTGTAATTGCCTGAGGAGATGCAGAATGACAGTAATTTCCCATATCCTACCCTGGGGATAATGATTCATTTTATTCAGATCTAATTACACATGGTAAAATACTGAAATAAATTAAAAACCTACAGTCAGCTGTGGTCAATTAAAAAAAGAAAAAATACTTTTTTGAAATATGTTTTTCTATCATGGATACTGTAAATTTTACTTTTTCACAGTAATATGACATAATAGAACCCTTCCTAAACTGATTAAGTGAATCTTGAGGTATTTATGTAGTCTAGCTGTGACTTCCAAAAATAAAAAATAAACTAATTGAATATATTTTAGGAGCAGATATGATTTGTGTTCGGTTGTCAATAGCTGATCTGTTTATCAGAATTATTTTTTTATATTTTTCGAAACAGGGTCTTGCTAAGCAGTTCAGGCTGGCCTTGAGCTCACTTTATAGCCTAGGCTGGTCTCAAATTTGCAAGGATCCTCCTGCCTCAGGCGTGCACCACTATGCCTGGCTCTGTTTATCAGAATTATTAATTTGCCAAATTATCTTTACCTATAGTTTAGAGAATTTCATTGAATATCTCTGAAGGAGCAGGGGTATAGCTGGGTGGTACAGGGTTTGCCTAGCCATGCATGAAGCTCTGGGTTTGATCCCCAACACAGCTAAAATACATAACTGAAATTTATTTATTTATATATTGGTACCGGGGATCGAACTCATGACCATGTGCTTGGAAGGCAAGCGCCTATGCCACTGAGCTAAATCCCCAGCCCCATAACTAATATTTATGTATTCATTCTTGGTGTCAGATACCGAACTCAGGATCTTGTGCTTGCCAGGTAGGCTCTGCACTGGCGAGCCATATCCCAGTCTCCCTAAATAACTAATTTTTAAAAAGAAAACAAGCTTCTTGATTTCCAGGATATTGCTTTATTTTCAAATAAATAGCAACCTCTATAGATGAAGGTGCCCGGCAGGGCACACACGTTCGGTCCCCACACAGCCCAGGCTACTGCCACACCAGGGGGAGGCACACGGATGGGGTAGGGGCAGGAGCTTTAGGAGAAAACACACCTGGGTTCACTAGCTCCGGCCCTTACTGACCCTTACACTTTCTCCTCTGCAAATAGGAAACCGAGCAGCAGGCCCTTCCGGTCAGAGGAGTGGAGGAGGCACTGGAGTGTTCGCCCCTCACAGTGGGTTTTATTAGGTACACTCAGGAGAGGACACGCCATTGAGTACCCTGCCAGGGTAGGAGCTTGGTGCCAGGAGCCTGCTCTGGCTGCGCACAAGGCCTTGCAGGAGAAGCAGCTGGAAAAGCTGCACATGCCTCCCTCTGTCCCCAGGCAAAACAAGAGGTCTTTCCAGGAAGCCCCTCTCAGCCGGGACAGCGACCACTGAGGCAACCTTGCCCCCCGCCTCTCTCCGGTCAGGACCAAAGAGGCGGAAGTCACAGAGCTGTGAGTTCAAGGGGTGCAGCAGGCCCTTAGCCCCTTGAAAGGAAGCCTCAGGGCAGCTGCTAAGAAAAGCTGGTTTTAGGCAGGTGAGTGACTGCTCAGACCCCAGCACTGGGAGAATCGCAAATTGGAGCCCTGCCTAGGTTATTTAGCAATTCAGTGAAACTCTTTCTTAAAATAAAAAGAGGGTGAGGATGTGGCTCAGTACAAAAGCCTTGGCTTCCAACCCCAGAGCCAAAAGAAAAAAGAATGGTCTACTTTGCTGGAGTGGACCAGAGAGGGGCCTGGAGCCCAAGCCCTGGGTTCCCACCTGGGTGTGCAGGCTGCGTTGTCCTGGCTCCCCGACACCTGGCAAGCACAGCAGCTCAAGGCCCACCTGCTGCTCCTTGGAGCTCCAGGGCAGTCTTTGGCCCCGCATCCCCTGAAGTACTGTGCAGAGGAGACTCCTTTGGAAAAGCAACTTGGAAGGAAAGCGCCTTGGCCGTCAGCAGAGGCCTTGCCAAGGAAGAAGACTCCCTCCGAGAGATCTGCTGACTTCCCTTCCCCATCCTGAAACAAAGAATGCCGTTGTTTATCCAGAGCTCTGTGGTGTGTGGGCAGGAAAGTGCCAGGAGCTGCTGCCTTGGCTTTGCCTTTGAACTGGCCTAGTGCTGCCTCCCCTCCCTGTTCTGTGACAGGCCCCAGCCTCCTTCCAGCTCTGTTGTCACCAGCTGCCACAGGCCAGCTGCCACCTAGCAGAGCTCTGGCTCCAGCTCCAAGGAAGGCTCTGTTTCCGCCTCTGGCCTCTAGCAGGCATCTTCGGACTAATGTACACACCCCGTCCAAGACCCAGCAGCTCCGAGGGCCCTCCACGCTGCAAAGCCTCACCCAAACCCGAAGTGGGATTTCGGTGGCCTGAGCCAACCTGTTTTGGAATCGGTCTGTCGGGTTCTGTCTGCTGGATTTCACAATCTTCCTCCTCTGAAAGAAAATATGTGGTTTTTCCCAAGTACAAGGTGTGTGCTCATTTAAAAGTGCAGGAAATTAAGAGATTTTATTTTTAGAATTTCACAATAGCTGTGAGAATAATGAAAGGGGTGTCCTGCAATCAGGGCTGGGAATCCTTGATTTAACCACTTGGAAAGTAGGGTGGACATGAGCGGTGGTCAGAATTTTCCGCAGCGCTGTCTGTCAGTCAGTCACTGCTCTGACTGATGCGCGTTGCTTTGCAGGTTTGGGCACGGTCGGGTGGTGTGGGGACAAGAGGAGGAAGGACATGGGATGTGACACACAGACCCTCCCTGTTGGTAGGGCTCCAGAATGTCATTGTCACCAGTCTATAGCCAACTTGTTTTCCTCTTCCCTTCCCATCATGCAATGCTTTTTATGCTGTTTTGTTTGTTTATTTGGGATTATTTGGATTTATCGGTGCTGGAGTTTGAACCCAGGACTTCATGCATAAGAAGCACCATGACCTGGGTTTGTAGTTTGAATCCAAGGCTCTAGGGAAAGTCCAGTGCCACAAGGCAGCCTCAGGTAAGTGACCAATCTGAAGCAGTCTCTTTCTTTTTTCTTTTCTTTCCTTTCTAGTTTTTATGTTATTTTTTATTTAGTAGAGCACGTTTGCAGTGCATGACATTTGAGGATCAGACTTAGTACCCCACTCACACTGGGCAATAGAACCACCAAATGCTAATTCCGGTTTGAGCCAGATTTTCCTGTGAATTCCACAGGTCAGTGATTAAATCTGTTTTCTTCTTGCTAATCTGGCTTTTGTCAGGTTAATTTGCAGGCTCCAACCGCTGAACCTGAGAAGTTCAGAAGGAAAAAAGAAAAGGAAAAATTTTTCTTTTCAAACACAAATGATATCCATTTGCCCATTTTAATCCTCCCAACGTATTTCCACTTCAATTAGCAGCCCATTTATATTATTTTTAGCAACATAAATGTTTTAATGGGTCCAGGAATAGACTGTAGGTTTTCTTTCCCATGTAAATTTTATTCCTTTATCATTTTTATTAAGTAAAAAGGACAGGAATCCATTGTTTTGGACCTAGCTTATGCACTGGACCTCAACAGTCCAAGCTAAAAACCAAAATGGAGTCACTCGTGCCATAGTTCCACGTGACTGGGGTGAAATTAGGCAGTTTATCCCATCTCTGGTGATATTAGGTTTAGAGAAATATTAGCCAAGTTTCCCAAACAGGCCAGTTTCTGTTTGATTTACTGCTGTACTTGATATTCTGTTTCGTTTTGTTTTTCCATTTCTGTTGGTGCTGGGGATGGAAGCCAGTGTTTGCACATTGTGTGCAAACCTCTACCCCTGAGCTCCCCCAACCCCACAGACAGACCAGTTTCAACTGGCCTGATAATGAGGTTCCCTCTGCCAAGTCCCATCACCAAATGGTGACCTATGGTAACCTGATGTTAAGCCATCAGCCATTTTTCTATTGCCTTCTTCATGTTCTAGACTTACAAGGAAAATAACTGAAATGACTGATCTGATTTTGTTTGTTTCTGCTTTCTTTGGCTCCCCCCCCCCCCCCGCCATTAAGCAACTCACCTCTGCTCAGCTCATCAGAACACTGTCACCCCACCTGTGACCACATGAGGCTTTGGGGGACATCAAGACCCAGACTGTAACAGCATGTGCCTGGCTTACCTGCTTTTCTAAGAGAAAAAAATAAAGATTGCCTTATTTCTAAATGTTCCAACAGGTCCAGCAATGCTAGTCCAGGATAAGAATGTTTACCCAAGGCACTAAGTTGTCCCTGAGATCAGATACTGAGACCCCCATGAGCACTAAGTTTCAGCATCTTTTTTTTTTTTTTGTACCAGGAATCAAACTCATGACCTTGCGCTTGCCAGGCAGGCGCTTACACCACTGAGCTAAATCCCCAGCCAGATGTCAGCATCTTAAAGGAGTCTAGCCCACTGTGTGTGTGAGCGTGTGTGGTAAGTAAGCTGTCATACACACTGGTATAAAACGTACAACTGAATTTTGTTTAAAAATGATATAGCCAGCAGGGCGTGGTGGTACAGACCTATAATGTCAGTACTCTGGGAAACTGAGGCAGGAGAATTGCAAGTTTAAGCTCAGTCTGGGCAATTTGCTAAGTCTGTCTAAAATTTTTTAAAAGATGGGGCACTGCGATATAGCTTAGTGTGAAGACACTGAGTTTACTCGTCAGTACCACAAACAATAAAATGAACAAAATAAAACTAACTCCACACTCTTAAAATCCATTGGTTTACAGTGGCAGCCCCAGCCCCCTTCAGAAGACTGCAAAAGGAAACATTATGCAATGAAGCAGATTTGCTGAGCCTCCAGTCTCTCATTTTCTTTTAGACTTCAAATATGTGTGCTTACTTATTGATTCTTGCATTAATTTTAATATTGTATTCTTTCAAAATTACCAAAATCATACATGGGCACTGAATCAAAGTCAAATAATGCATGAGCAAGTATTAGGAAAGTTGTTTCTGTTTCTCCATCATGTGTGGTGCTGGGACTGAACCTGGAGCCTTGTGTGTGCTAAGAACATGGTCTTCCACCAGTTACACCTGCAGCCAGAAGCGTATCTTAACGGTGCCCCCTCCCACTCCCTCACAAGTGTTTCCACTGAGCTTTCTTGGGCCGTGGCTGTGGCAGGAAGGCACAGCTGTCCAGTTTGAGGAACCAGAGTTCATGCTCCTACCCTGCCATTTGGTAGCTTGGTAACTATGACAAGTTATTTAGGCTCTGAGATGAGCCACCCATCAGTCGCACATGGATGACTGCAAGGTCTGTCTGGTGGAATCAGAAAAGTTATTTCCAGTGTTTGGGAAGTCATAATCCCAGGACATGGGGATCCCCGGGGACCTGGCCTCAATGACCACCTAGCACCTGCAACTCAGCCTCCTCTGACCAATCCCTGTGGCTTCCCCAAAGCACCAACTTTTACTAAAGGATCATAACTTTTTAGATGGTACACAGGGTACCTTGAGACTGTAATATTAAATGAAATAAATTATCAGACACACAAGTCTAAATATTGCATGGCTTCTCTTATACAAGAAGCACAAAGAATAAATAAATGAGCAAAATAAAAGAGAGAATAAGAAACAGGGAGGTGAACCTTTTGCAAATGGGAAAGGGACCAATAGCTGGAGGAAGGGGCATGGGAGGAGAAGGGAAATGGATGTAAATAAATTAAGATAACTTAGATACATGTACTGCAAACATGTACTAATAAAAACAAAAATTAAAAAAATAGGTGGTGCATACGTTATACTTCTCCTTCAAATAACTTTTTGGGAGACAAGGAGGTGCTGGGGATGGAACCCAAGACCCTGTGCAAGCTCAGCAAATGCTCTACCACTGAGCCACACCCCCAGGCCTACTAAAAGTTTTTTTTAAAAAAAGACTAGTAGCTTTGTAGCAAATAGCCCTTTAAAAGCCAAATGCTATGTGTCAATGGTGGAAGTAGAAAAAAATTAAATAAACGAATAAAAAGCAGACTGAGTGGTGGAACGGTAGCTTGGTACAGCCTTGGAACCAGGGCAGGAACAAGTGACCACAGACTGCTCTAGACACAGCAGAACAATGGTGTAGCAATGCCTAGGACTCTTCTCAACAGGAACTCTAAATAGCATAGAGACTGCGCAGGGGAGAAAGCTTGCTCAGAATTAGCATGCTAACAAACTTTGCAGTGTAACGACGATCACAGAAACCACACGAAGCCAGACAGGAGGCAAGACCAGGAACCACAACAGACACTGCCCTGACCCAGGTGGGCACACACTTTTGAAGTTTACAAAAATGCCCCTCAAAACCCCTCTCTGTTGAAGGAAACACTGGAGATGCAGGCAGTCTCTGAGTGTGTGGCCTCTGCAGAGGCCCGGCCAGGGAGGGCAGCTCAGGTGACTTTGGGGTGGCTGGGCCACATGCCCTGGAGTGCAACTCCCAGCTCCCTCCGGGGAACCACACTGCCCCAAACCCCAAAGGTAAAAGGAACTCAGCCAACAAAACCTGCCTGTTTCCAAAAACAATGCCCAGGGCATCTCTGGACTCGAGGCGCTCTTGGCTGCAGCGCCATCTCTCAGCCTCCTGCCTGACCTTGCCCACTCCCTGCCTGGTGCCTGCTCCCCTCCACCTCCTGGCCAAGCCTCTGCCCTCACCCCTGTTCTGTGCCAGTGCCCAAAAAGGAGATATGGCAAAGCCATCAACGTGCCACACCTGCAACAAGACGGTCATTTGCACCCTAGCAAAGCCTCAACTGTTGTCACAGTTACTGAGGCCTGTGGGGATCTAAATACTTCCCTGACCTTTCTCGTTTCTTTCTCCTAGCAGCCAGTGTGGCCCACAGGACATAGTGAGGCCACCGAGTGACCACAGATCGCCAGAGTGACCAGGAAGGCTTTAAAATGGCCGGCAATGCCCCAGAATTCAGGAGAGGGAAGGAATAGCCCTGCCAGTGCCTGGACTTTAGACTTGCAGCCCAGAGAACCACTGGACAGTAAAGGTCCATTGTTCTAGCGCGGTCTATCTGTGATCCTCACAGACATTCACTGCTTTTGCTACTTTTTGTCCTCTGACCTAAGCCCAAATATAAATGTTGGATGTCACTCAGCCCCAGGCATCCTTGCAGCTGGTGGGATGGCCCCTTGAGTGACCCCCAAGCTCCCATCTCCAGCAGACAGATGGAGCTTGCAGAAACAAGGTGACAGCATCCTGACTTTTCCTCCCACAGCAGTCACAGTGACTGCTGGCAACATGGGCTCCACGACAGAGGCTGATGTTATAGAAACAGGGCCTCCAGGATGATAGCATTAAAAAATAAATTCCTGGCTGAGCTGAATCCTGCCTCTACCTGGCAGGAAGAGGACAGGTCAAATCTGGGCTGCATCAGTCAGAGGTGACAGCCAGAGTAGGGCTGGGAAGCAGAATGCAGGGGCAAGTGCCTGACTGTGACCGTGAGTGACCCAGCGGGCAAGCTCCGGCCTCGGCCCCATGTGGGCTGTGATCTGGAAGCCAAGGGTGGAAAACTCTTTAGAGAAGTGAGACCAGCCTGGAGAGCAAGGAAAAGGACCTCTCATTTCCCTCACGGAGCCAGGTGGGCCACTTCTGTCATCCTGATCAGGCTGGAAGGCCAGCAAAATATAGGTCAGTGGGATCTGAATTACAGGTAAGCAAGGAACATTTTACTATGTAAGAATATTCAAATACTACATTAAGCATCATGATGCTAAAACAATGAGTAATTTTAATGTAAATGTGTTATGAATATTACCTGTGATACATTTGTGTTAAAAGAATACATAACTTTAATGTATATCCTAAACATTGTACAGGACGTGATTATACCAAAATGCGATTCATTTGGTGCACGCCAGAATCCCGGCCTTCTGAGCACTGAGCGGGGAAGGCTGAAGGTTCCAGCCCAGCCTGAGCAACAGAGTGAGACCCTATCTCAAAATTAACAAAATAAAGGATTGGGGACATAGCTCAGCACAGAGGCTCTGGGCTCAATCTCCACCACCAAAAACAGGAAGACAAAGAAGAAGATAAGAAAAAGAAAGAAAGATGTATTACATGAAATTTTATGTAATTGGGTCTCCTATATTTTTCTTTGTATAACCTGGCAGCTCTAACTGGCAACAGAGAAAGTACCTACTGCTGCTTCACCCCTCTCATCAGCACCCAAGAAATACTCAAAAAGAAAAGAAAGGAAAGGAAAGAAGCCAGAGTCTGTAGAGAAGAGCAGGCTGACCCGAAGGAGCAAACCAGAAAGCTAAGCTCCTCTCCAGCTGCACACAAAGCTCAAAGGTCGTGATGATAACGGTCCTCTCCAGGGACTCAGCCCAAAGGTCCCGCCAGCCTAGGGACCTCACTGTATCTAGTTCGCTGCAGGAGGTTTTGACTTCTTGCATAATTACAACCCAGAGATGCCACATTGATTGCAGCTCTCAGTGCCAGGAGTGTGGTTTGAGACTGGGCCCAGTGCAGTTTTTCCCAGAGCAGTTATAAGGACGTCACCACAAAGCAGAATAGGTCTACTATGGGGAAAACGAGTGCTGATCCTAAAATTTCTCCAGCGTGTGGAGCTGGCTGACCAGCTGGGAGCCCAAGAAAACAAAAAGAGCTGCCTGGCTGCCTTGAAAGGCCCAGATCTTGGACGCGTGGACTAAGCTGTGCTCCAGCAGGCGGAGAGCCAAGCTGGGCAACCCCACAGCGAGAGGCTGGCCATGATGGCTTCATCTGGGGGACAGGAAAGGGTGAGGAGGGAGCAGGGTGGGGGTCTAGCAGCCAAGGACCAGGGCTTCCCTCCCCGTACCTCAGGGTTTCAGGAATGACACCCACTCCTGCACCAGCCCTGGGAAGGGGCCGCTGATCTCTCCAGGCTAGAGCTACAGCTCCACCCTCCCTCAGTCACACTTTAGTTATTATTTAATTTTGCACAGGGAGCACATTCATGCAACCCAAACCCAAACGGAGGTAGCGTACAAATCCCACAGAAGCGAATGGCTATCTTCATTTCTCATCTGTCCTTCCAGAGAGATTTTATATGTTTCTTTTTCTGAGTTCTTTTCAACAGATCTTAATTTACTGCTCACATTTTCCGGTTTTTCTGACTTAAACTAGGCTTTGTGAGTGTGCCTGAGGCTGTCACTAAAGTATAAACCCATTAGGGGCTGGGGATTTAGCTCAGCGGCATAAGCGCCTGCCTTGCAAGCCTGAGTTCAATCCCCAGTACCAATAAACGTTAAAAAAAAAAAAAAAAAAAAAAAAAAAAAAAAAAAAAAGAATAAACCCATTAGATGAGCAGTGCAAAGTCCAAAAAAGAAAAAAAAGAATAAACCCACAGCTGCTGGTGGTATAGCTCATGGTAGAGCGCTTGCCTGGCCCACACAAAGGCCTGGTTCAGTCTTCAGTTCTGCCAATAAAGAAATAAGTAAATAGTAGTTCTCATTACAAAATAGAGTGAATTTGGCAAATGCCAAAAAAATTGGCAAAAGTGAAATGTCATATTTTGTCCTACTTCTCCATACTGTTAACAGTTGGGTGCATTTTACTCCAGGCTCTGTAAACAATCCTGTGTGGCGCTTTTGACCACAACACTGTCTCCTCTTTGGGCAGAACTAGGGACAGAAAAACAATAGGAAGAAGATCAGAGGAGAAAGAGGAGCAAATAGGGCATAGGGCAGTGTGGGCAGGAGAAGCCAGCTAGTCAACGGAGAAGGGGGGTATTCATTCATTGTTTTGCTTTGTTTTGTTTTGTTTTGAGACAGGGTCTCACTATGTAGCTCAGGCTGGCCTCGAACTCAGCGACCTTCCAGCCTCTGTCCCTGAGTGCTGGGATTACAAGCATACACCACCATGGCCGGCTTTCCTTCATCCATTTGAAGACATATTTGTTGTAACCCAAGTACCTGGTCTGTGAGAACAGAGATGGTACAAGAAAATAGCAAGAAAAAAAAGCCCAAAACAAAAATGAAAACAAAGCAACAACAACACAAAACCTGACCACAGGGAAGAATGGATGAGCAGGCCATTACAGCCCGTGACACAGTGACACAGCTCTCCAGTGGGACACTTGGGAAGCCCAAGAAGCCCGAGGATGGGGAAGGGGTCGGAGAAGCCCTTGGTGGCAGACTGGGCACTGGCATGGGGGGCAGGTGGAGGGAGCATTTCTATGAAAGGGACTGCGGCAAAATAGAGACGGCTTGGTGTGGAGGCAGGAACCAGGAGGTCAGGTGCACGGGAGGGAAGGAATTAGGCTTTGTCCCAGGGCAGCAAGAAATTCTCAAAAGACTCAAAGCAGGAAATCAGCAGGATTGGATCTGCACTTTGACAAAGACCAAGTCTGCTGCTGGAGAGAAACACTGGCCCCGTGGAGGGAGTGTGGATCCTGAAGAGCTGGTTAGGGAACCACTGCCTAACAACAGGCAGGAGAGAGAGTGGCTGCAGAGAGACTGTGGGTGCCCCTAGGGGCAGGAGCCTTCGGGTGGGTTCCAAAGATGCTGTGGTTTTAGATTTGGAGCCTGCCTGGGGTTAGAATGATGACCAGGCTACGGTGTGGCATTTCTGGACTCAAAACTCTTTACCAGTGCCCACCCATAATCCAACCACTCTAGGAGGCTGAGACAGGATGCTTTCAAGCTCAAGCTCAGCCAGAGCAACTTGGTTAGACCCTGTCTCAAAATAAAAGATTTAAAAACCCTGGGGACTTAGCTCAGTGTGAAGACTTTGAGTTCAGTCCCTGGTGCACACACGCGCACACACACACATGCACACACAACCCAGGACACATCCACAGAGGCTCTAGCTTCTGAGCTCAACATGACGATGCTTGAGGACCTGCCAACTCCCTCTCTTCCACCTTGTGCTGGCGCCATGCTGAGTCCTGGTTCCCAGGGTGCCTTCTCTCTGTCCCTGTCCCCTACCAGCCCAGCTTCCTGCAGCACTTGCCATCCTTCGAGCCCAGCTCAAGGCTTCCTCCAAGAAGCCCCCCAGCCCGGGCTTCCCTGGCCCCCGACTCTGCAGGGGCTCTCCTCCCCTGGCAGCTTTGAGCTCTACATGTTGAAATACCTCCCCCATTCTACCCTTTGGTTTTGGTGGAAATGTCTTACTTTCCCTACAAAGCTAAAAGGTTCTTGAAGGCCCAGAACAACACTTTCTTGGGAGCTCAAGGAACATCTGTTGAATTGAAAGGAGAATTTCAGGTTTGTACTGAAGGAGAATCAGTGGTACAGGGGCTTCAATGGGGTAACTCCAGTGGAGCCTGTGAGAAGACCCTGAGGGCAGGAAGGAGTGGGAGAATTCTCAGTGACAGGGCTGGGACGCAGGCCCCAGAGGCCTAGGTCCCCTGGCTTTGGAAGGAAGGGTGCCCAAGGAGGCAGAGGCTCAGGGCCCACAGATCCCTGATGGCTGACAGGGAGGGCGGTGCCAGACCTTGACCAAAGTGGTGAGAGGGTGCAGAGGGCTTTGCAAGGAGCTCCAGAGGGCCTTCTGTCCACCCCAAGAACAGGAATCTTTCCTCCTCTTGCGCTCCCAGGGCTGCCATCCTATCAGCCATCACTGGCCTGGCTATCACCAGCAGGAGCTCCCCCTACTGAGCTCCAACAGCGTTCTCTAGTCAGCCTTTCTCTCATGGCTCTGGTGGAAGATGGAAGAGGAAGAGAACTGCAGAGCTGGAAAAGCCCCTGGAACACTGGTCTCAGCTAAGGACACTGCCCCACCCCACACACAGGCTCTCCAAGACCACGATGACCTTGGTGCCATCATTTGGATAATGAATGCCCCCCCCAAGAACCCCGTGTTAAAGGCTGGTCCCAGGGAGACACTACCAAACCACCAGTGGAGGCCTTAGCGGAAGTGCCAAGGTCAGTGGGGGTTGCTCCGGAAGTGATTCTGGGGTCCCAGCCTGTTCCTCTCCCTCTCTAGCTTTTCTTGCTGGCTCATAAGGTGAGAAGCTGGCTCTGACATGCACTCTCACCATGATATGCCACCTGGACAGAGCTCACAGCAGTGGGATCACTAGACCATGGACTGGGACCTTCAGAACCAGAAGCCAGGATGATACGTTCTCTTTACATGCTCATTTTCTCTGACGTTCACTAGAGGGTGATGGAAAGTTAGCTAATGTCTGGGGCTGGGATTTAGCTCAGCAGGCATAAGTGCCTGCCTTGCAAGCAGGCAGTCGTGAGTTCGATCCCCGGTACCGATAAAAAGGAAAAAGACAAAAAAAAAAAAAAAAAAGAAAGTTAGCTAATGTGCTTTGTTCTCTCCAGATTGTGCCTTCTGCTCAGAGAAAGGAAAGAAAAACTAAGAGAGAATTCCCACAAGTCTCTTAAATGCAGAAGGAGATGGGCAAGCTCAGCGTGTGAAGACCCTAGGTCTTTAGGTCAGCCTGGTCCTTAGGTCAGGCCAGGCTTGAAGGGCTGACTGGAGGACTCCAGCACTGCAGCCTGGGCTGGGGTGCCTAACCCTGCCTCTGGTGCTCTGGATTGCAGAAGGGTGACAGGGCCAGGTGAATGGGAGGGAACGAGAAGAAAGGGACCAGAGGCAGCAGGTGCTGTCTCAGTGGGGGTGGCAGTTGCTCAGCAATGGGGAATGGAACGGGGGTCACCAACAGAATGGTCAGTTCTTTATTTATTTCTGAAAGAGTTGCTAGCCCAGACCGGACACTGTAACCAGGAAAGGCTGCAGCCAAGTTAGAAAACTCCTGCCTCCCCCCCTCCCCGCCCCCTATAGACTTGACTGTAACCCTATAACCCCATCCCTAAGAACCTGTGCGCCAATGAAATACCTATACATCTCTAATGGCCTTAGGGCACTGCCCTAAGCTTAGGCTATTTAGATTCCCCCATGCCACGTGTCCGAGGGAGATCGCCGGATTCCAGCGGCCAGTACGCCAGTCTCCCCTCCTCGTGTTCCCAGAATAAAGGCCTCTTTTGTCTTATACTCAACTTTTGGAAGCATCTTTCATCCTTTGAAGACAATCCTATCAATTTCTTTTTTTTTTTTTTTTTTTGTCTTTTTCATTTTTATTGGTACCAGGGATCGAACTCACGACTGCCTGCTTGGCAGGTGCTTATGCCACTGAGCTAAATCCCAGGCCCTCTTTATTCATTTCTTCACACACTTGAGGATTCTGTGGAGTCCGCACATTGGAGATGGCGGACAGGAATGTCACTAAAGAACTTTATTTTATTTATTTATTTTTTTTGGAACTTTCTATTAAACTGAGAAACCTATAGAGCTATGACACAAACATGATAATAAAGACTGGAAACCGTCACTGCAGAGCACATGGTCAGATTGGAGAGCCAAGAGGATGGCACTGTCACTGAGCTTCAAAAAGTGAGGGGCACCTTGATCAGAAAGCACTAAGAAAGCAGTACCAACACCAAAGGGCACCGGGGCTGAGTGTCTGTGGCAGAGCCTGCCTGACATGCTCTGGGCCTGGGTTCCAGCCCAAGGAAAGACTCGCGTGAGAGCAGGAGAAAGGCAGCTATAGCAACAGTCTATAAAAGAGACTGAATGCATCACACAGGAAAGGCAGTCCGGACGCCTTTGCAAACCTCCAGGCTCTTCTGAACGTAGGCCGGCAAAGACTGTGCGCAGGCATTGCCTGGGGCCCGGCTTCAGGAGAGAGGCCAGCGGGAACTGGCCCTGAGGGGTGGTAGGTCAGGACGAGGGGATTGTGCAGCCTGCCCTGCCCTGCCCTGCAGGAACGTCCTTCCGCCCGCACATCATACCTGTCGAGCGGTGAGCACTAGCAGTTAGGAAACTCCATTGCAGCCCTGTGAGCGCCTTACTCCTGCAGACCCTGCTGGGCAGCAAGCGCTCAGCCTTCTTCTTCCCTTTACTGGCGCTCTGGGTATGACCTTGTGTGGCCATCACAGCCACCAGGAGAAGCTGGAGTTGTGGAGTAGCGCTCACCCGCAGGTGGGAGATGAAACCTGGGAAAGAGCAAGACTGCGGCTAAGTGACAGCCTGTCAAGGCACAGGAGAGGCTGAGCACGCGAGAGTACAGGGCCCTATCAAGGAGCTGGGGGGAGGCGGATTAAAGAGGAAGGAGCAGAGCAGAGGACAGACTGGGCAAGAAGCACCAGCCCTCCCTGCAGGCCAGAAGAGGAGGCCGGAGGCTGAAGAAGCAAACAGGCCCACAGGTGTGGGCTGGAAACCCGGTGTCTCTCCCTGGGCTTCTTCCCTTCCTTTCTCAGGCTGCTCGCCTGGCTCTGGTTGATACTTGAGCCGGGTCAAGTCCTAGCTGTGTGCAGTGTATCTTATCTCTACCGCCTAGGGTTTCTTACAGGATACACCGCCGGCTGTCTGTGCTGTGGTTGATGGGTATTTGGTTTCCTTTGAATCTTGAGCTTTTCCAGTTGCAAGGTATTTCAGAACTCCTGCATTTGCATCATCTCTCTGCATCGATATGAGCGCACTCGGGGGTTAGAAGTAGACTTGCTAGGGTACCGGGCATGCATATCTTTAACTGCAAAGACAGGGCTTTCTGCGTGCCTAAGGGATTACTCCAATTTACCCCACCAGGGACACATGAAAGTTTTAGTTGCTTTAGATTCTGGGATTGTCCGATTTAAAAATTTTACCCTTTCTGGTGAGTGGATAGTGATATTTCATTGATCTTGTCAATTCTCTAATGAGGCTGAGTATCATTTTGTATTTATTAACCATCTAGATTTCTGTTTTGGGCATCTTCTTTTTTTCCTTATTTTTCTTTTTGTCTTTCTTTCTTTCTTTCTTTTTTTCTTTCTTTCTTTTTTTCTTGTACCAGGCATTGAACTCACTAGGCTTCTGCTTTTGCTATGCTTTATCTCCTGCCAATCTTTATTGTTTTTTGTGCTTTTCCTGTTGATGTGTAGAAATTCTTTCAATTTTCTAGAAATAAGCCCTTTTCAGTTTTATGTATTGCAAATATCTTTTCTTGATGTGTGTCTGACCTCATGTCTTTTCAGGAACTGAAACTCTTTAATTTTCATGTAGACAATGTATCGATCTTTTTAAAAATGTAGCACAAACCAGTACAGAGGTTCCCCAAAGAACTAAACTGGAAATCTCTTATGACCCAGGTATCTCCATCCTAGGTATCTTCCCCAAAGAGCTCAAGGTATCATATGACAGTGATACATGCAAACCCATGTTTATAGCAGCACAATTTAGCTGAATCCTGGAAGCCCCCTGTATACCCATTGATAAACAGCTGAGCAAGATGTAATACCTATACATACTGGAATATTACTCGGCTATAAAGAGGGACACATCTGAGACACTTGTAGGAAAATGTATGCACCTGGAAAATATATTGTTCAGTGAAATAAATCAGATACACACACTTTAATACCATTAGAATCTCTCATTTGAGTAAAGGCAAGTACAAATAGAGAGCAATACAGCACGGATAGAAAGAGACACAGGGATGGAGATCCTGCCCATGGGAAGGGGTCCAAGAGAATGTTGGGGAGAGGCGGGGAAAGAAGTAGAATAAATTTACATCGTGTATAGTGCTCTCACCCGTCATAAACATGAGATGAGATTAATAATATCAACAAGAATAAAAATGGGAAAGGGGACTTAAAGGAAGAGGGAGGAGCTGGGTGTGGTGGTACACACCTGTAATCCCAGCATTTGGGAGGCTGAGGCAGGCAGATTGCTTGAGTTCAAGACCAGCCTGGGCTACAAAGTGAGATCAAGGCC